TTTTGGTGTTTATTTTTATGCCTTGGACTTTGTTTTATTAAAACCTTTATTTTTGCATTCCTGCGTTTGAGTCCTCCATCATCTCACTCCATGACAGTAACAAGGTCATTGATTGATCTCAACTCATCAATGATGGAAATAGTTGTCAGCTAATAATCGATTCATCGTTGTGTGAACCTTACGTGGACCTAAAAAGGCTGAGAAGAGGTTTTATGATAATTCTATAATGACTGCAGAGTGAAATGAGCAAGTAATTACAGTATTTCTAATGAAACAACCCAAGTGATCTCTGTAAAATGAAAAACAAAAAATCCTAAATTTAATGACCTTTTGCGATCCAAACAAGTCATTGATTCAGATTAATGGGCAGACTTAACGATTATCAAAATAATTGTTTATTACAATAGTTTGTATTGGTGCTTTCTTGCTAATTTCATGTTTTCTGAAATGGTCAGAATTGTCTGAAATGTCTGCAATAAATAAATGAACTGAAATCGAAACTGGTTAGAAAGAAGGATTGAGCTTTTTGTTCATGCTAATGCCGAGCATCAATAATGGAAATGCAAATCAGTGAAAGTCTATTGGCAGCTTACATGGGTTGGCTTTCAGGTAAAGAGGAAGTCAATGAGTAATCTGGTCAACTTTAGCCTCGTCAGCTTTTGTAGCAAGTATTGAAAATGAGTTTTGTGGAAGTAATGAGTGGTCAGAAACTATTGATGGCCACACATCATGAAAACACATCCTTTCCTGTTAACAATGTCTTATATTCACTGTTTTAGACTTTTGTAGTTTGTGTGTCTAACATTTATTTGTGATTATGTTTTTCCAAGTAAAATGGATTCTGGTAAATTTTAATCTACATGTTTGCTTACATTGATGAATTATAGAAAGTCGGATTAGTGATGAGTAATGGATTAAAGCCGAGCATTCGTTGTAAAGATGCACTGGTCTTACACAATCATTAAACAGCAAAAACATAAACTCACAAATATCAAATACAAAATGTATAAATGTATATAATCTGTGGTGTCAGATTCATTCATGGTTGGGAGTTTATCAGTGCAAAAGTAGGAATAGAGCATTAAAGATATTTATAGAGTTTATAAGAAGGAAAATCTGTCCAAAAAATCCTCCAAAAAACAGGACAGGGATAGAGGGTGATTTTTATAGTTCATAATCTGTTTTTAGTGAACCACAAATAAGGCAAGGACAGCGGTAAAATCATCTCTAGTTTAATATGGAATAATATAATATACCAAAAATCTAGAAATAGTAATAGTTATTGCACCCGAACTGATTAAAGATGCTATACCCAATTTTCTTTTTAATGTGTTCATAAAAATGCTTATTACTACATACAAGTTGTATTATAATCTGTTATTTAATAGAAAACTTGAGCTCATTGATTCATCTGTGCATGAATTCAGGCCTTAAAAAGTGCTGAGTAGAGACTTAGCGTGACGCCCGCTCTCCTCCAATCACAGAACGAGGCTGCGTCCTCTAGCCTCTACAGCGCTGCTAAACACAGCAGCATGTTAGCAGAATTGGCTATAACTCCTCTTACTGTAACTGCAGACACAGCAAAACAGCCCAAACGACACAACAGTGAGGAAGAGAAGAGGGAACTAAAGCAAAAAAATTATGAAAGAAGAAATCAAGCCCAGGTGAACATAGCTAGCTTACATTGTATCCTCTGGAGAGACTTGTCCATGGGAGAGACCTGTGGGTGCGGGACCGCCTCGGACTATCTATGCTCGGACTACATTCGGACGAGGAACTAGCCGTAATCTTTCAGTTATATATTTTGTTAGCAGTACGTTACTGTTGTACCATTGCATCAGTGATTGTTGTACAGCTTACAAGAAGTTGCGCTCATGCTAATGTTTGCATATAGATCGCAAATAAAACTAGAGGGCACCGTGGGATGAGAGCGTAGGGGAAATGAGAAGCCTGTGAGCGAGGGGTGGTGCTAAACATTCAAACCTTGCAGAAACGGGTATAGCTCCTTTAAAGAAAAAACAAAGGGGGAAATTCTAAAATAGAATTTAGTTATATTCTGCAGTGGTGTCTCTTTCCCCCTCAGAGTCTTTGGGACCAGTGGACTTTCTCTTTCAGCTGGTTTGACAAAAGTATAAGTGATGGTTCAAAGAAAATGGCATAAATTGGAGTAAAAGAAAATATAAACACCGGAGAATGATTGCAGAAGAATCTACCAGATAGTAGTGATCCTTTAGCTGCTTTGCCAACTCCTACCTTGCAGTAAGGAGTAAGTACATGTTATTTTTAAGTAGTAATATCTGTTCTTTTCCGATTCTGAAGTGTTGTCTGTATGTATTGGGTGATGCCGATAGCGTGAAGGTGACAGTGTGTCTGTTAATGTCAAAGGAACAGTGTCGGGCGCTTTGGACATCGCTGCTGTCACATCACTGACAAATCAAAGTGCATTTCACCGTGTCAGCTCCATGCCTGTCCACTGCTACTACTGCTGCTGCTGCTGCTGCTGCTGCTGCTACTGCTGCATCTGACACATCTCACCCCCAAAAATATATAACACACATTTAAGTTATTTTTTGTATTGCCCGCCACTGTGATTGTCCAAATTACTATAAATTCTCCAAACAGATCAAGTCTTGTAAAAGTAACATTTTGTAAAGTCAGACCACAACAACAACTTATTACAAAAAACTTAGAACTAGGGATAGAACCAAACTTTTTTTCTAGTTTGAAAGAACCCCAGCGTTAAAAGAGTATTACGTATGCGGTATTAAGGTTGTAGGTACAATTGCCGTTTCTGTGTGGAGTGTGTGGTTTGTAGGTTTCCTCTGTGTGCTCCAGTTTCCCCCACCACCCAAAACATGCAGCTGTTTTACAACCCGAAGGACAGAACATTCAGGGATATTTTAGAGGAAGTCCCACCTCTCGTTTCTCATGGGAGCATTCCATTTTTCTTTTGATCCTGACCTGTATTTTTCCTAGTGTTTTGCCGGTTCTCTGCTGTCTTTAACAACTTCTTAGCAATGCACAAGTTTTTTGTATTTGCAGGCTATTTTTGTTTAAATCACAAAGAACCGGTGTTAGCTGCTAACTCGGCATATTGATTGACAGTGAAATATTGATTTTTTTCATACACATTGCTTTTTTTCTGATTGGTAGAAATGTGTCTCTAAATACCTTTTAAGGTGTTTCTTCAAATCAAAGCAAAATGTATTGCATAGCACAATTTATAAGCACAGTTCAATAGAGCAGCAAGAGGCCGCTCCTTCTGCTCCTGAGAGTTGAACAAAAAGAACAAAACAAACAGAACAAAAAAGAACATCAAAAGTGGACTTGCTGAGCCATGATAAACAGAACGGTTTGGCCCTGGATCAACTATATACAGGACCTTATGGATCCGATGCTGACACCTTTAAAAAACTGGACAAAACTGGAAAAAGGATGCCAAGATCAGAGCGGCAATACAGAGTGAGTGAATGATGATGGTGGTCGGACTGAGACGGGCACAGACAAGAGCCTCGCTTCAGTCACCTCCGAGTGTGGAATGAATGAAGAGTAGAATGTAGTTCTCTGGCTTTAGAATTGCAAGGCCGTTATATTTCTAATCATTATTATCATCTTAGAGGAACAGTTTGTTCTTGTTTTAAGCTCTACCATTAGATCAACAGCACCTGGTGTGTTGGCATGTCACATTTTAGACCCCTCGATGCACCCTCCTCCGTTGTCTTTCTTTTACGTTTTTATTGAATGTATCTGTATTGCTCATGTTATGTTACTTTCAATGCACAAAAGACTGTATGCACATTCCCTGTCTTTTTGCACACCCAGAGTGATTCTATTTATGCCAAATGTGACACTCCACTGTGAGATCAGTAAAGTCTATCTTATCTTATCTTACAGCCTTTACCTTTTGAGTAAGGGTGTACCAATATCAATATTAAAAGGCTGTATCTTCTGGAAATATTGTTGTATCCGGAGTATATGCAATTGCATGTTCCTTTCCACGAGTATTGGTCCATTATGGGGAATCAGCAGATATTGGGTTATAGGGTTAAAAAAAAGCTGAATCTGTGTTTCTTTAAATTTACTAATTAGATTAGAAGATATAAATCTATTATAATTACTCAAGCCTTGATTTTGAGTGGTTTATTTTTTCCTACTATTCTTGAACTGTTCAAGCAAAACTGGAAATTTGACTTCTGTGTGACAAGTTATTTATCTTATCTTAGTGGTCTGATGATGCAGTAGGACATACTGGTATTGACTACTCTTGTTTGTCAATTTTAAATGAAAATAAATCTCACAATAACTGCACACTAACATTTCCAGCCTGAGCTAACATTATTTACAGTCACCCCCTGCCCTGCTATTAAGACAGAGCTTTTTTTCTTGCTACTCCATACAAAATACAGGCGCGCAGACAATTGAATCATTTGTGCTACCTTGGAAAACAATAGCATAATTGTTCATTGTCTTGCAGGTGGATCTATACAATTGATGTCTGGCTAAAAGCAACATCACTGTAGATTTACCAATGATTTTTAACTTCCACACAGCCTCAGGGTTCCTTTGTTTCGCTTGTCAAAAGGCGTGCGCTGCCAGTGAACCGTATCTTCATCTGACTCCAACTGGATTTGTTTCATCTTCTTCCCTGCGACTGGGAATGTGTGGGAATGTTCACTTTGGTCGGTGGCTTGTTTACACGAAAACACGGCGTCAGCCGTGAGCACTCAGGTTGTCGGCACCTTGTTTGCATAAAATAGAGGCAGCTCCCTGGTATAATGCTGAAGTAGTCTAACCTTTAGAGCTGGAATAATTCATGACTTTTACACATCTCAGTTGCCAAAGCGTGGCCTCATCCTCCCAATCCAACTGACAAAGGTTAAAAAACACGACACATTTCTTTCCCGCGTACTTCTCCAGCGTGAGCTTCCCCCTAATTGACACATTCACTTGTTTTTACACCTTCTGTTCTCTCTCTATCTTTTCTTTCCAGTTCGTTTGCCATGTCTAAAGCAGCCACAAAGAAGCAGCACTGGCGGTCCAAAGTGCAGGATAGCTTCGTCCCGTTGCTGGGCCCGTCGGGAGAGCTGGGGATTGCGGTGGGTGGAGGAGCGGACTATGGAGAGTTCCCCTTCGTCACCTCGGCCCCTGGGGGAGGGCTGACGGTGGGAGATATCATTTTGGAGATTGGAGGGACGCCTGTGCTTGGGATGACGCTGGGCGATGTGAGAGGTGTGCTCAGCTCCTGCCCGCATCCCGTACGAATAAAAACAGCCCCGCAAGGTATGGAGGCATTTCCTTACTAAATATTGAAGAATACAGTAAAGGATGTGGTACTGTAATGGCGGAAGTCGCCATAATCTTGCATAGACAATTAATGTTCGACCAATGAATGATATTGCCTCTGGAATGTGCTATTTTCTGTTATCAATTATAACAGAACGACAGGTAACAAGTACCAATGACTTGCCAAGATATTGTTACATCCCTATTATCAAACACATACAGAGATATACAGTACATAGATGGGGCTTGTTATGTAATGTTGGCTGTTTGTGTGGAGTTTGCATGTTCTTCTTGTAACTGGGTGGGTTTCCTACGGTTACAGGTAGTCTATATTGTAAAATGTTATAAAAGTTTTCCAATTTTAAGCACACTATTGTTCTCGAGTACCATCAAAAACATACACAGATATAATAATCTTTCATTACCATCAACTGTCAAGCTTTGGACCACCAAGTTTGAGAAAACATTCCATGAGCAACTTCATTATGTCGAGTTCATGGGTTCAAAAATAAATGAAAAAAGGTGTAAATCAATGCTTGGAAGTTTAAAGCCCTGATAATAAAAACACAGCAGTCTCTTGCAGATCTCACCTTTATACCCTCATAGTGAAAACGTGTGGAGAAGCTCATGCATACTTCCTGTCATTTAATTTATTCAGTGCACACTGCCTGAGAAAATGCATTCAATTTTAATTCCCTGCCTCTCGCCTCAGACACTCTCACTTGTTGCACATCATTGCACTTGCCTCATCAGACAACACCCAAACAATCTGTTCCACAGTCAGCAGAGAGAGTCCATAAAATAAACTCCACCAGGGCAGCGAAATTCTCAGCAATCCAATCAAGATCGCCGTTTCGACCGCTCACAAATCGAAAACCCCAAATTATAATTAGGTAAGGTGCCAAAAGTCAAAGTTTTTCCTGAATCGCATAGAATAGTTTAGAAATATATTGCATGGAAACATATGAAAGAGAAAAATCCCTGTATCTAGATGTGTATCGCATCGAGGCTCTGAAATATTATGGCCAGATAATGTAGTCCTAGTATCACTAAGTAAAGCTACATCAACAATTATTAGAAAGTTCCAAAAATTTACAAAAATATTTAAATACATTTTTTGCTTCTAAAAAAAATATTAGTAATCTTTATTTGTCTAGCACATTTCACATTTTACATGGTCACACCAAGCACTTTACAATTCTTGTTGAATCAGTCATTTCTATTCTCCACACGGTGATGACAGAAGCGAAACGCTGAACTCAATGGGGCATTGAACCCTCTGACCAACTCCATCCTTCACTCTCATTACATTCAGACCTATTGTACCTGTTTTTAGAGGTACTGTAGGGGAAACCAGATCACCTGGAGTAAACCTATGCAGACACAGGGAGAACATGCAAACTCCACACAGAAAGACCTGGAGGTGAAATCAAACCCAGGACCTTATTTCTGTAAAGAACAAGCTCTAACCACTGAACCGCTTAGTGCAAAAGGGAATATATTATGATTTATGTTAAGAATATATTTTTACCTCAGTTTTTAGTAATGCCATCCTCCAGTTGTGATTTTAAAGCCTTTAACTCAATTTCGATACTTGACAGTTTAGTGAACAGTTCTAAATCTCACTCTACAGCCATCTTGTCTGGTTATGAACTGCGTGCTTGTTCTGTTGATGGCTTCTGGTCAATTAGTCCACAAGTGTCAAGGCAAACTGTCAATATGTGGGTGGCAGGTCAAAACCAGCGATGACAAACGACACGAGGGAGTGGCGATATTGTCTGTCACACTCCCAGGGTCCTTGATGTTTAGAACAGGGGGGGGACTGCGAGGAACGGATGAATTTGTTGACTTCGAACAGAGCAATATGTCACATAGGTGTCACCTAACCGCGGCACCCAACGGCCTTGCCCGCGAGATTGATAGCTGGTTTGGCCACAGGGGTGTAAATGGAGACCTTTGCTCCCGTTCCGCCCGCTGTTAGACATATTATCATTCCTGAAGTCTGCCCGCGCCTCCTTGGACAGCCCTGCCTCTGCCTGCTCGCTGGACAGTGATTGATGGTTGCGTGCGCCAGGTTGCCAGGTCTCCTCGCGCCAATGCAAGTCCCTAATCACTCCACAGAGATCCATACAGAGGGGTGGGTAACATACTGGACAGGGAACATACTGGCCAAGTCTTTTCAGGAATTTACAAATGTTGAACTTGATCATTAGAGGGGATATATATTGGAAAATGAATTATAATTTTACACTTGTTGCAAGGCAAGGCAAGATTATTTGTATAGCACAGTTCATACAAAACGATGCTCAAAGGGCTTTACAAAACAAGAAAATGAACATAAAATCACTCTAAACTAATACTTTATCTCAGTACATTAAAAAGACAAAAGATACAGTTTGTATGCACAGCTAAACAAAACTGTTTTAACCTGGATATGAACATTGTCAGAGAAGAAGCCTGTCTCTGAAGACCATTCTCGATTTTAGCGGCATAAATTAGAAGAGCAACCTCTTCATGCGTAGTCCTGACTCTGGGCACCAGCAGGTGGCTAGTACCTGTGCTCCTCAGAGTCCGAGTTGTTTCATATGGGACATGTCACAAACATACTTGTTTGTTATAGTCATGAATACAACCGTAAAATTGGATTGTAAACAAACAATACAAGTTAAAAAACAAGCGTATATACTGTTGTATATTCTTTCTCTTCAAATGGATGCTACAATATATGGGCTGAATAGACCTTTTATGTCGTATATCTAGCTGTTTTCGATGTTTAAACACATTTATTCATACAAAATCTGCCAATAATAACAGACCCCCAATTTTTGTTATGAAATGGACCAATACCAGTTGAATAGCTGTGTAACAGGTTGCACAGAAGCATGTGTCAAATAGATTATACAGACAATAAAGTCCACACAAGCATACTCATGGGATATCTAGGCAAGGCAAGGCAAGGCAAGTTTATTTGTATAGCACAATTCATACACAAGGCAACTCAAAGTGCTGAACAAGATAGCATTAAAATCATAAATAATTACAGAACATTAAAACGAAAGATAAAAATATAAAATCCCTCAGTTGTATGCACAGCTAAACAGCACCGTTTTTAACCTGGTTTTAAACATTGTCAGAGAGGAGGCCTGTCTCACATCTTCAGGAAGATTGTTCCAGATTTTAGCAGCATGAATCTGAAAAGCAGCCTCCCCATGTTTAGTTCTGACTCTGGGCACTAACAGGAGTCCAGTCCCTGTGCTCCTCAGAGTCCGGGCTGGTTCATATGGGACTAACATGTCACTAATATATTTTGGTGCGAGGCCATGGAGAGACTTGTACACAAGCAGAGCTGTTTTAAAGTCTATTCTCTGAGCCACAGGAAGCCAGTGCAGAGTATCTAGTGAAATAGGCCAACATAAGAGTAATCCCAATGTTAAACCAATACTTTAAATTTGTCTTATCACAGTCGAGTATAATCCAATTTGAGATCATCTGATAGAGCAGTACAATTGAAGATTGGAAATGGAAATGTTTACCTTTTTTAATAAAAAAGTACTATCTGGTTTATAATAGGATGAACAAAACCAGTAATTTTCCTCCCATGGACAACCCCATATTTCTATTTATTTAATCGTGTATAGACAGCAGCAATATGAGGCCAGCAATACACAGCATAGATACAGCTCTACCAATGCAGCACACTTTAATTTCATGGCATATCGGCATTCGGAGGCTCAAACCAGGGGCAGGGGTGCACTTGGCGGGGGGCAGTCGGCAGGGGAAGCACCGGCTGCGTGGTCGTCCGTCAGGCTGACAAGCTGGTGCGGCTCTGGGGCCATCTATAACAGCAAGTGACCTGTCATCAGCCACATAGCTCCTGAAATTATATTAAGAGATCACAGGGAGGAAACCAAGCATCAGATCTGCCTCTTCCTCACCATATCAATAACCAAATCAACTGCAGCGTCGGATACTATTAACCTCACTTTCTCATTATGCAGGTTAGAATGTGGAGATGTCGGGATTCTTGTTTTAAAGTGTTTGGCTTCTTAATTCCATATTTATCTGATGTTTGACAATACAACAAAAGAGGAATTAACTACTGCGTTGTTAGAAGAGCTATAGATAGAAAAGCAAGTGTTTCCAAAAAAATCTAAAGCAAGTAATTTTTGGTTTTATACCAATCTACTGAAGCATCATTAATCTTGTCTTTTAGTGCTTGTGATCTATCTTATTAATCTATCAATCACACACACAGGCAGTCGTTCCTCTGAGTTTGAAGGTGGCAAAAGTAACACTAATCTATAAATCAGGCGATAAATCAGACCCTGCTAATTACCAACCTGTTAGCATCGTCCCTATCTCCTCAAACATAGCATAAATGTCGGCTGTTATTATAAAACATCTTTAAGATACCAGTCCTCTGCCATTTAGCATTCAACTAACTACATTCATACTGTCAAATCTAATAGACAGAAAACATTGCCTGCAAGTAAAAATAGAACGTTTCCCTACTTTCAGTATACTTAAGGTGTCCCTCAGGGCTCAACCCTAGGACTCTTTTTTTGTTTTTAAACTGTATGTAAATAACTATAACCAATTTTTCCTAAAATGTAAACCATAATTATGTACACTGATGATAAAAAAAAACAGACTAATTTTGACTCCAGCCAGAAGTACTGAAGAGGCAGCCCATCAATTTTAGTTAAGCTTTATTTTACCTTTAAATAATTTACAAAAATGGCTATTCGTGCCTTTGCCTTAATGTAAAAATTAAAAACTATCAATATTCTTGACCACAGCAAAGTTCCCCTTGGGTTAGAATGCATCATGTTGTGGAATTTAGGTACTTGTGCTGTTAGATTGAAAATAAAAATAATAATAAACTGTAAATACGGTCAGTACAATATGGAATAGTGCAATGAGTTAGTTCAACATCAGGACAAACAGTCGGGGCATGTGCAATATGAAGGTTTGCGAAAATGACGTGGTCAATGTTCTTGTCTCTGTTTACTTTAAACAA